CCTTCAATGGAGCGGAACAACCCATTGAAGAACTACAATTCCCAGCATGCACTGTCACTACTTACACAACACCTTCTGCTCATTATTATTATAGAATAGATGGGTATATAGAATATAAAACCCCATTGGTATGGGGGGGGGAGGGGGGCATCCCATTCATTCTACTACCACCCAGATGGTAGACCCCTTCAATGGAGCAGTACAACTAATGGAAGAACTACAATTCCCAGCATGCTCTATCACTACTCGCCAATCATCATAAAGGTGGCAGAGTCTAGGTCCCCATCAATACAGACCATCCTAATCAGTCACCTGCCAGCAACACGGGAGATCCCATCACAGAGCTTATACAAGCTGCTGCACCTATTCCCCCCCCCCCCCCATGAAGAACAACAAGTCCCAGCATGCCTTGTCACTACTGACCAAATATTAGAAGACTCTACCAAAACAGCAGCATGAGTTCCTTTCACAGGGATAAACACTCTGCTGCTCCTCCGGCTGATAATGAACTACAAGTCCCAGCATGCCCTACTACTACTGGCCAATCGTTACAGAGGTAACAGATCCCATTCGTTCTGCTACCAGCAAGACGGGAGATCTTCTCACAGGACTGTGCAGGCAGCTGCTGCAAGAACTACAAGTCCCAGCATGCCCTGTTGCTACTGACCAATGAGGGTGCAGAACACAAGACCACATGGATACAGACCATCCCATTCATTCTACTACCAGTATAACGGGGGATCTCCCATACGGTTATATAGGTGCCTCCAGCTGGTGAACTACAAGTTCCAACATGCCCTGCTGCTACTGACCAATGAGGGTGCAGAATACAAGACCACATGGATACAGACCATCCCATTCATTCTACTACCAGTATAACGGGGGATCTCCCATAGGGTTATACAGGCTTCACCAGTTGAACAACTACAAGTCCCAGCATGCCCTGTCACCAACCACCAATCATGACAGGGGTGGCAGCGTGGATACGGGTCATCTCATTCATTCTACTAACAACATGAAATGAGCTCCCCTTATAGGACTGTACAAGCAGCTGCTGCAGGACTGCAACTCCAAGCATGCCCTGTCACAGGGGTGGCAGAGGATAGGATCCCACAGACAGAACATCCCACTCATTCTACCCCCCCCCCCCCCCCATAGGGGCTATACAAGCTGCTGCCCCCCCGATGAAGAACCACATGTCTCAGCATGCCCTGTCACTGCTGACCAATCGTCATGGAGGTGGCAGAGTATACAACTCCTCAGATACAGGCCATGCCATTCATTTTACTACCAGTGTGATGGAACCCCCCATAGGGTTATACAGCCTCCTCCAGCTGATGAACTACAACTCCCAGCATGTCCTGTCACTGCTGACCAATGAGGTATCAGAACCCAACATAGACCAGGGCCATCTCATTCATTCTAAAATAGGAGTCCCTCCCCCACCCCCCTTCCTCCATAGAGGGGGATAAAGCCTCCTCCAGCTGATGAACTACAATTCCCAGCATGCCCTGTCACTGCTGACCAATGAGGTATCAGAGTCCAATATGGACCCGGGCCATCTCATTCATTCTAATTCTAGAATAGGAGTCCCCCCCTCCCCCCTATAGAGGGGGATACAGGCTCTTCCAGCTGATGAACTACAACTCCCAGCATGCCCTGTCACTGCTGACCAATGAGGTATCAGAGCCCAACATGGACCCGGGCCATCTCATTCATTCTAATTCTAAGAGGATGGGAGCCCCCCCTCCCCCATAGAGAAGGATGCAGCCCCCTCCAGCTGATGAACTACAACTCTCAGCATGCCCTGCCTCCACCCACCAATCAGAGCGCACACAGCCGAGCACATTCATTCCATCGCCAGCAGGGTGGGCGGTCCCTTCATACACAGGCAGCCGCTGTAGAACTACAAGTCCCAACATGCCCTGCGGCAGCCCCTCTCCCGCCCTGGGACGGCTGAGGCACCACAAGGCCCAGCGTGCCCTGTCACCGCAGAGTGATGGCCTCCATCCGGCAGAGGCAGACTAGGGGCTCCCCCTGGATACAGGCCGCCCCGTCCGTCCTATCACCGCCCGGATAGGGGAGGCCGTACCTGGGGCTGCGTCCCCCACACACACCCATCCATCCAGGAACTACAAGTCCCAGCGCGGCGGAGGAGACCGCGCTCCGCACACCCCCGGCCTCCCGCTACAGGCCGCATCCCCGGACTTTCCTGACACAACGCCCGCCCCCCTCCCTCACTCACCTCAGGCGCAGCGGCTGCTTCTCCCCGGCTGGGCTCGGCGGCTCGTCCTCCTCGTCATCATCTTCATCGTGGCGGAGGAGGTCGGGCTCGGTGTCGGTGGGTGGAAGAGAGGGGGGAGGGGAGGCTGTGACAACTGGCCGCCTCCGCCGCTCTCTCCGGCACTGGAGGCTTTTTTTTTCCCAGTAATGCCACACAAAATGGCTGCGAAAACAAACCGACGCAACAGCCGCTGAGGAGAAGTCACGTGAGCACGCCTGCGCATTGCGCCCGGCTCTCCGACGCCTCCGCTCAGGGGAGGGTCCTGCCCGCGTCACGCCGACGGGGCACACCCCCTGGGCTCCACACAGCCCAATATTCACCAGAGCTTATTAATAATAATAATAAAAATAGTAATCAGTTTTAACTTTATCATCATTATTATTATATATATATATATATATACATTTTTTATAATTAATAAAAAAATTGTATTTTTGTCAGGTATATACAATATAAAAAATGTATTTTCATTTTATTTATAATCAATATATCTAATATATAGTTAATATAAAATTGCTAATATAGCCACCAATAATATCCATAGTGCAATCAACTAAATAATACAGGATTTATATATTATTATTATTATAATACAGGATTTATATATTATTATTATTTACAAGATTTATATATTATTTTTTTTTATTATTATTATTATTATTATACAGGGTTTATATATATATTATTATTATTATTATACAGGAATTATATATAAATTATTATAATAAAGGATTTATATATTATTATGATACAGGATTTATATATTATTATTATTATACAGGATTTATATATTATTATTTTTATTATTATTATTATACAGGATTTTTATATTATTATTATTATTATAATACAGTATTTATATATTATTATTATACAGGATTTACATATTATTATTTTTATTATTATTATTATACAGGATTTTTATATTACTATTATTATTATTATAATACAGTATTTATATATTATTATAATACAGGATTTATATAATATTATCATTATTATAATACAGTATTTATATATTATTATTATTATTATACAGGATTTATATATTATTATAATACAGGATTTATATATTATTATTATTATACAGGATTTATATATTATTATTATAATAAAGGATTTATATAATTTTATATAATACAGGATTTATATAATATTATTATAATACAGGATTTATAGATTATTATTATTATATACAGGATTTATATATTATTATTTTTATTATTATTATACAGGATTTTTATATTATTATTATTATTAATATACAGAATTTATATATTATTATTATTATAATACAGGATTTATATATTATTGTTATTATTATACAGGATTTATATATTATTATGATTATTATTATTATACAGGATTTATATGGCGCCAACAGTTTGCTCAGTGCTTTACAATATAACAGGAGACAATACAGTTCAATACAAGAGGGTTAGGAGAGTCTGATCCTGGGAGCTTACAATCTAAGAATATATATATGTATGTAATATATATATATATATATATTATATGTAAAGCGCTGTGTAAATTGACGGTGCTACTTAAGTACTTGTAATAAGATATACAATTTCTTTATATTTAGTAAAAAAATGTTCTAATGATATTATTTTTCCCAGTATGTACAATACAAACATATCAATAATAATAATATCAATAATTATTTGTGTTAAACATTATAATAAATATGTCTAATATATAATTAATATAAAATTGCTAATATAGCCACCAATAATATCCATAGTGCAATCAGCTAACTAATAATAGCGCCAACAAAAATAATTAGAGTAAAAATAATGATATTTTCTTCTGTTTCTTCTTCTTCTTATTATAAATAATAATAATAATAATAATAAAAATAATCAGTTTTGAAGTGTTCCTAAACCCTCAAACAGTACAATCAGTCTGTAGATACAGTAAAGCATGCTTGTTATACTCACTGTGGAACCTAAGGGGTCAATCCTCTGCATTGTGTAAAAAGGCTGTTTGATTCTGTCTTCTCTGATCCTCCTCCTGTTCAATGTCCACGTCTTATAGACACACTGAATCTGTAGCGATTCTGCACACGGTCAGTTTAGTGTGTATTGCTAGAGAGGTTTTTTTTTTTATCTTGGGAGGGTGCATGTGATCAGCACAGGGCCAATCAGCACTGTCCAGACAGAGGTCAGGGGTTCTGCATTCTCCTAGAGCAGAAAGAAAACTCCTCCTACAAGCTTTAACTAGTGCTCTGCTGAAGTCACAAGACTGCTCTAACTGCTGATGAGAAAAGGTATTTAGCAGTTTATATTTTCTGAAATAATTGCACCTCCTTGCGTGTCGTGTGGGAGACCAGATATAGTAAATGCAGGGTCCAGGGAGACCAGATATAGTGAATGCGGGGTCCGGGGAGAGCAGATATAGTGAATGCAGGGTCCAGGGAGACCAGATATAGTGAATGCGGGGTCCGGGGAGACCAGATATAGGGAGTGCAGGGTCCGGGGAGAGCAGATATAGTGAATGCAGGGTCCAGGGGAGAACAGATATAGTGAATGCAGGGTCCGGGGAGAGCCAGATATAGTGAATGCAGGGTCCGGGGAGAGCGGAATGCAGGGTCCGGGGAGACCAGATATAGTGAATGCGGGGTCCGGGGAGACCAGATATAGTGAATGCAGGGTCCGGGGAGACAGATATAGTGAATGCAGGGTCCGGGGACCAGCGGATAAAGTGAATGCAGGGTCCGGGGAGACCGGATATAGTGAATGCAGGGTCCGGGGAGAGCGGATATAGTGAATGTGGGGTCCGGGGAGAGCGGGTGAATCCGGGGAGACCAGATATAGTGAATGCAGGGTCCGGGGAGAGCGGATATAGTGAATGCAGGGTCCGGGGACCAGCAGGGTCCAGATATAGTGAATGCAGGGTCCGGGGAGAGCAGATATAGTGAATGCAGGGTCCGGGGAGACCAGATATAGTGAATGCAGGGTCCGGGGAGACCGGATATAGTGAATGCAGGGTCCAGGGAGACCGGCTATAGTGAATGCAGGGTCCGGGGAGACCGGATATAGTGAATGCGGGTCCGGGGAATGAGCGGGGATATAGTGAATCCCGGGTCCGGGGAGATCAGATATAGTGAATGCAGGGGGAGAGGGGAGAGCAGATATAGTGAATGCAGGGTCCGGGGAGACCAGATATAGTGAATGCAGGGTCCGGGGAGACCGCGATATAGTGAATGCAGGGTCCGGGGAGAACGGATATAGTGAATGCAGGGTCCGGGGTGAGCATCAGATATAGCGAATGCAGGGTCCGGGGAGAGCGGATATAGTGAATGCAGGGTCCGGGGAGAGCGAATGCAGGGGTAGGGGAGATCCCGGGTCCGGGGAGATCAGATATAGTGAATGCAGGAGTCCGGGGAGAGCAGATATAGTGAATGCACGGGGTCCGGGTGAGAGCAGATATAGTGAATGCAGGGTCTGGGGAGAGACGGATATAGTGAATGTAGGGTCCGGGGTCCGGAGACCGGATATAGTGAATGCAGGGTCCGGGGAGAGCAGATATAGTGAATGCAGGGTCCGGGGAGACCGGATATAGTGAATGCAGGGTCCGGGGAGACCGAATATAGTGAATGCAGGTCCGGGGAGAGCGGATATAGTGAATGCAGGGTCCGGGCGAGAGCGGATATAGTGAATGCAGGGTCCGGGGAGATCAGATATATATAGTGAATGCAGGGTCCGGGGAGAGCGGATATAGCGAATGCAGGGTCTGGGGAGATCAGATATAGTGAATGCAGGGTCCGGGGTGAATGATCCGGGAGATATAGTGAATGCAGGGTCCGGGGAGACCGGCTATAGTGAATGCAGGGTCCGGGGAGACCGGCTATAGTGAATGCAGGGGCCGGGAGAGCGGATATAGCGAATGCAGGGTCTGGGGAGAGTGGATATAGTGAACGCAGGGTCCGGGGAGACCAGATATAGTGAATGCGGGGTCCGGGGAGAGCGGATATAGTGAATGCAGGGTGCGGGGAGAGCGGATATAGTGAATGCAGGGTCCGGGGGAGAGATATAGTGAATGCAGGGTCTGGGGAGAGCGGATATAGTGAATGCAGGGTGCGGGGGAGAGATATAGTGAATGCAGGGTCCGGGGAGAGATATAGTGAATGCAGGGTCCGGGGAGACCGGATATAGTGAATGCAGGGTCCGGGGGAGAGATATAGTGAATGCAGGGTCCGGGGAGACCAGATATAGTGAATGCAGGGTCCGGGGAGACCAGATATAGTGAATGCAGGGTCCGGGGAGACCGGATATAGTGAATGCAGGGTCCGGGGAGAGCAGATATAGTGAATCCCGGGTCCGGGGAGATCAGATATAGTGAATGCAGGGTCCTGGAGACCGGATATAGTGAATGCAGGGTCCGGGGAGAGCAGATATAGTGAATGCAGGGTCCGGGGAGACCGGATATAGTGAATGCAGGGTCTGGGGAGACCGAATATAGTGAATGCATGGTCCGGGGGAGACCGGATTATAGTGAATGCAGGGTCCGGGGAGAGCGGATATAGTGAATGCAGGGTCCGGGGAGATCAGATATAATGAATGCAGGGTCCGGGGAGATCAGATATAGTGAATGCAGGGTCCGGGGAGAGCGGATATAGTGAATGCAGGGTCTGGGGAGATCAGATATAGTGAATGCAGGGTCTGGGGAGATCGATATAGCGAATGCAGGGTCCGGGGAGATCGATATAGCGAATGCAGGTCTGGGGAGATCGGATATAGTGAATGCAGGGTCCGGGGAGATCAGATATAGTGAATGCAGGGGCCGGGAGAGCGGATATAGCGAATGCAGGGTCTGGGGAGAGCGGATATAGTGAACGCAGGGTCCGGGGAGACCAGATATAGTGAATGCGGGGTCCGGGGAGAGCGGATATAGTGGAATGCAGGGTGCGGGGAGAGCGGATATAGTGAATGCAGGGTCCGGGGGAGAGATATAGTGAATGCAGGGTCTGGGGAGAGCGGATATAGTGAATGCATGGTGCGGGGAGAGCGGATATAGTGAATGCAGGGTCCGGGGGAGAGGATATAGTGAATGCAGGGTCCGGGGGAGAGATATAGTGAATGCAGGGTCCGGGGAGACCGGATATAGTGAATGCAGGGTTCGGGGGAGAGATATAGTGAATGCAGGGTCCGGGGAGACCAGATATAGTGAATGCAGGGTTCGGGGAGACCAGATATAGTGAATGCAGGGTCCGGGGAGACCAGATATAGTGAATGCCGGGTCCGGGGAGACCAGATATAGTGAATGCCGGGTCCGAGGAGAGCGGATATAGTGAATGCAGGGTCCGGGGAATGCAGAGATACAGTGTGAATGCAGGGTCCGGGGAGACCAGATATAGTGAATGCAGGGTCCGGGGAGACCGGATATAGTGAATGCAGGGTCCGGGGAGACCGAATATAGTGAATGCAGGGTCCGGGCAGGGTCCGAGGAGAGCAGATATAGTGAATGCAGGGTCCGAGGAGAGCGGATATAGTGAATGCAGGGTCCGAGGAGAGCAGATATAGTGAATGCAGGGGGGGAGAGATATAGTGAATGCAGGGTCCGGGGTTTAGTAACACTGTAAGGCACGCAGTTCAGCATCAGCTGTGTCTATAGCCCCCTTAGAACTCAGAAATCCTTGGAAGTAGCCTTGGGGATAAAATAGAACAGCGATAGGTGAGAGATGTGTGACAACATGACGGTATTGTGACCACACATTAAATACAGATGAGTCATTGTTGCTGAGTGAAGATGTAATGTGGCCTTGCGGATGGGGATACAAATAATGGAACATTAGAGAAGTCACACAGTCATGGTTATCCGTCAAATTATATTATTTTTTATTAACTATATAATGGTCTTGAAGGGGGATGTCACTTTGTTCCTATATCTAGGCAGAAAAAAGAATCAATGAACAACATTATATATTCATTAAATCCGGCCTTTCCTTCAGTCTCACATAGTTGTACCGGCTCCTCTCCTGGACTGAAAAGGCTTCCTCTGATTCCGCTGCACACTGCAAGCTTCTCACCATGTGCATTAGAAGCTGCAGCAAGTCAGATAGAGCTCCGCCTCAATTCCTGGCTGGAGGACGTCCAGCATCATCTAGCTCAGGGGTTCTCGGCCTTTTGGCTAAGATCAAGTGTAGTATCTGTTCTTATCAGTGTCCAGTAGGGGCGCTCTTCCATCATTCTTGCCTTCTGGCAGGGATGACTGGCTTTATGGTACCCCTGCTGGTATGATGGGGGCTCTCAAGGTTAGTACCGGCTGGAAGAGAAAACGTGGTGCCCACAGACTGTTGGAGCCCGGGAGTACTTCCCCCCCCCAGGAAAACTGGAGGGGCCCAGTTCCTCCGGATTTGAATGGGTCTACCTTGTCTGGCCAGGGGCCGGGGAGCTAGGGAGTCCACGGAGCAGTGCCTCCTGGGAGTGGTCGCCTCAGGGGTGCTCTTAGTAACACATGGGGGTGGGATCCTTGGGCCTGCCCTGAAGTCTAGGGGGAGGACGCGTGGCCATTAGGTTCCTTCCTCCCCTGTTCCTGGGGGGGGGTGTCTCTCTTCGGGAGAGCTCCCTGACCTAGTACTTGGTGGTTGGCTTTGGCTAGCCACAAGGAAAGGGGTCCACCAGGCCTTTTGACTAGCCGCAAGGAAAGGGCTCCTCCAGGCCTTTTGACTACCCACGAGGAAAGGGGTCCACCAGGCCTTTTGACTTGCTGCAAGGAAAGGGCTCCTCCAGGCCTTTTGACTAGCCTCGAGGAAAGGGGTCCACCAGGCTTTTTGACTTGCTGCAAGGAAAGGGGTCCACCAGGCCTTTTGACTAGCCACAAGGAAAGGGCTCCTCCAGGCCTTTTGACTAGCCACAAGGAAAGGGGTCCACCAGGCCTTTTGACTTGCTGCAAGGAAAGGGCTCCTCCAGGCCTTTTGACTAGCCACAAGGAAAGGATTCCTCCAGGCCTTTTAACTAGCCACAAGGAAAGGGCTCCTCCAGGCCTTTTGACTAGCCACAAGGAAAGGGCTCCTCCAGGCCTTTTGACTAGCCCCAAGGAAAGGGGGCTCCTCCCCCATCGTTTTGGTGTCAGAATAGTTTCTCATCATTAGTGTCAGTAGGAGGAATTGTGGCCCATTGTTGGTGTCAGTGGGAGGAATTGTGCCCCATCACTGGCGTCAGATGGAATAGTGGCTTCTCATTGGTGTCAGTGGGAGGAATAGTGCCCTATCTTTGGTGTCAATGGAAGGAATTGTGGCCTGTTGTTGGTGTCAGTGGAAGGAACTGTGCCCCATCAGTGGATGGAATAGTGGCTTCTCATTGGTGTCAGTGGGAGGAATAGTGCCCCATCTTTGGTGTCAATGGAAGGAATTGTGGCCTATTGTTGGTGTCAGTGGGAAGAATTGTGACCCACCATTGGTGTTAATTGGAGGAATGGTGCCACATGGTTGGTGTCATTGAAGGGAGTTGTATCCCAGCACTGGTGTCAGTGAGAGGAATTGTGCTCTACTGTAGCTGTCAGTGGAATGAATAGTACACAACCGCTGGTGTCAGTGGAAGGAAGTGTGCCCTATCGTTTGTGTTTTTGGAAGGAATTGTGCCCCATTGTAGGTGTCAGCAAGAGAAATAGTGCCACATCATTGATGTCATTGGGAGGAATAGTGTCCCATTGTTGGTGATATCGGGTGAAATTGTATACTATCATTCATGTATATGGGAGGATTTTGTGCTCCATTGTTGGTGTCAGTGGCAGGAATGATGTCCCAATGTTACAGTCAGTGCATGAAATAGGGCCAGATAAAACCGTGCAAAGGGACACATCTGCCCCCCCAGGCCACAGTTTGGAGACCACTGATCTAGCCCTTTCCTCCCCAGCCTCTCTCTGGCTCACCTCTTCCATTCATTGGATTCCTGTTCCTCCAATCATGGATACCCAACATCACATGTAGGCATTTTGTATGCAAATATAGCCTGCCTAGAAACACCCACTCCTCCAGACTGACACCCACTCATCGAGGAATTTTGATATTTTCATGACTGCGATAGGGGGCAGTGTGGAGCGCGATTCAGTGCATCACATGGTTCCCCCCCTTTTTTTTCGGTATTTGTACAAACTTTATTTGAAGTGTACAAAACATACACTTTATTCGTGGAGCTGTACTTCAGCAGGTCGCGATGCTGTACAGTGCCATGCGATTCCGTACAGTGCGCTGCGATAAAATGCAGCATGTCTGCATTTTCGGGCAGCTCCAGGCTGTGTTGCAGTGTGAATGGAGAGAAATGTCATCGGCACTCCAAGGATCTCCAATGTGGGTCCAAAAAAGGCTTTAACCCCTTCACGCCTGAGGGTAGAACAAATCTTTACGCCTAAGCACAATCTTGCAACGTTGACATGTTTTAGTAACACCGTCCGTATCATCACAACTACTTTGTACATCCAGGTGGATTATACCGCGTTTTTTTCAGGACAAATTGTGCTTTCATTTGGTGGTAAATGGTAATGGATAGCTCCTGATTTTTTTTTTATTATCAAAGGAAAACTGGGCCAAAATAGTAAATAAAAAATTTTTTTTTTTTTTTTTATAATTTAGCTGTGTGTTTTTTGCTACTACCATAACCTACCACCAAAGAACAACCCAACATAAATTCTCCAGCTCTTGACGATCGCAGTGATACCACATATGTGTATCACTGCGATCCTGCATTCACTACATCCACTCTCCCTGGACCCTGCATTCACTATATCCACTCTCCCCGGACCCTGCATTCACTATATTCGCTTTCCCCGGACCCTGCATTCACTATATCCGGTCTCCCCGGACCCTGCATTCACTATATCTGCTCTCCCCGGACCCTGCATTTACTATATCCGCTCTCCCTGAACCCTGCATTCACTATATCCACTCTCCCCGGACCCTGCATTCACTATATCCGCTCTCCCCGGACCCTGCATTCACTATATCCGGTCTCCCAGGACCCTGCATTCACTATATCCACTCTCCCCGGACCCTGCATTTACTATATCCGGTCCCCCCAGACCCTGCATTCACTATATCCGGTCTCCCAGGACCCTGCATTCACTATATCCGCTCTCCCCGGACCCTGCATTCACTATATCCGCTCTCCCCGGACCCTGCATTCACTATACTCGCTTTCCCTGGACCCTGCATTCACTATATCCAGCTCTCCCCGGACCCTGCATTCACTATATCCGGTCTCCCCGGACCCTGCATTCACTATATGCGTTCTCCCCGGACCCTGCATTCACTATATCCGGTCTCCCCGGACCCTGCATTTACTATATCCGCTCTCCCTGGACCCTGCATTCACTATATCTGGTCTCCCCGGACTCTGCATTCACTATATCTGGTCCCCCCAGGACCCTGCATTCACTATATCAGGTATCCCTGGACCCTGCATTCACTATATCCGCTCTCCCCAGACCCTGCATTCACTATATTCGGTCTCCCCCGGACCCTGCATTCACTATATCCGCTCTCCCCGGACCCTGCATTCACTGTATTCGGTCTCCCTGGACCCTGCATTCACTATATCCGCTCTCCCAAAACCCGCATTCACTATATCCGCTCTCCCCGGACCCTGCATTCACTATATCCGGTCTCCCCAGACCCTGCATTCACTATATCCGCTCTCCCCGGACCCTGCATTCACTATATCCGCTCTCTCCCCGGACCCTGCATTCACTATATCCGCTCTCCCCGGACCCTTCATTCACTATATCTGCTCTCCCGGGACCCCGCATTCACTATATCTGGTCTCCTCGGACCCTGCATTCACTATATCCAGTCTCACCGGACCCTGCATTCACTATATCCGCTCTCCCCGGACCCCGCATTCACTATATCTGATCTCCCTGGACCCTTCATTCACTATATCTGCTCTACCCGGACCCCACATTCACTATACCCGCTCTCCCCGGACCCTGCATTCACTATATCTGCTCTCCCCGGACCCTGCATTCACTATATCTGCTCTCCCCGGACCCTGCATTCACTATATCTGCTCTCCCACAGTACACAGAATATGCAAATGCAATTATTTTAGTAAATATAAACTGCTAAATACCTTTTCTCATCAGCAGTATATAGCAGTCTTGTGACTTCAAGCAGTGTTCATCAGAGCACTGGTTAAAGCTTGTAGGAGGAGTTTTCATTTTGTTCTAGGAGGATGCAGAACCCCTGACCCTCTGTCTGGACAGTGCTGATTGGCCCTGTGCTGATCACATTCACTCTCCTAAGGTAAAAAAAAAAAACCCTCTAGCAATACCTACCAAACTCAGCATGTGCAGAATGGCTACGGTTTCTTCTGTCTTATCAGGAGATAAGATGTGGACATTTGAACAAGAGGAGGATCCGAGAAGACAGGATCAAACAGCCTTTTTACACAGTGCAGAGGATTACCCCCTTAGGTTCCACAGTGAGTATAACAAGCATGCTTTGCTGCATCTACAGACTGATTGTACTGTTGTGGGTTTAGTAACACTTCAAGGTTCCAGAAGGTGATATGATGCCTCTCGGAGGGATAAGTCTCTGGGCGGAGTCTTAGAAAACAGCCTGAAGTTTAGTAAATAGGCATTATCCTTTATTGCCTACGTTCAGGTCTGTGCTCAGTCACCTGCCTGCAGATCTGGATGTGCTGTCCATCCAGCCAGT